GAGAACTGACATTCGGTTTGATTAAGTTGGTGCTATCTGAAGCCCCACCCAGGGGTACATAGTAATCCCCAATGTGCACAGCAAAGAGTTCCACTGCACCAGACTGCTTGTTCTGGGCTATACTGAGCCGCATATCCTATTTTACCACTGATTGAAGCACATATACTGTAGACGTCCATCCATACAGTTTCCCTCCAGAGAGTGGGGGGAGAGACAGGAAAGAGATAGACAGGCAAGGAAGCAGAGACAGAAAGTGAGAGGGAGGAGAAACGATAGAGTTATCCGTGGTCTCATTACGGTGGGAAATGTGAGGGTCCCGATCCAAGGGAATGATGAAGGACTCTGTGGAGGAGGCCTCTGAGAACCAACAAAGACGGCTTTAGTTTCACTGGCAGAATGCATTTGCATAGCTTAGAAGCCAAAGCGTCTGAACCGGGGCTCATGAAAAGAAACCCCACCAATTGGTTGGACTTCAATGCAAACGAGAGAGAGGGAGAGCAAGTGAGAAATGAGGAGAGAAAGGCGAAGCGAGTGAGGGAGAAGTGGAATGGGAGGGGAAGCAGCAGGAACTTTTTTCTCTTAAGTAGCAAAACACAAACGAGATCGGGAACATCTGCACATCCCATGGAAGCTGTCGCCGACTGACTTTGATGCAAAGAGAACATACTGAGGAAGAACATCTCCAGAAAAAGTAACACGCATAACAACACTTCCGAGATATCACAGGAGCCATGTTCCCTTGTAGTCTTTTGATATTGTTATTTAGTACAGCTTGGTTGCCATTACACATTAATGTCATTTGAGAATATTTCCAGGTTTGTACGCATTGGGATAGCTCCATTTTGCTATGATGGTGGAGCAGTTAGTGGCCTATTGGATCTCTGGAATGCAACAAATATTAGACATGGGCATAATGGAGCAATCTTCTGGAGAAGTGTGAAATAAAAAGAGGCAAGAATTAGGGAGGGAGTGGAGTGAGAGGAGCAGATGTTGTACTTTAGCGGTGTCTCCTTTTCCCACTGTGGCCTGAAGTCATGGAGGGATGACTAGCCTTCATCAATCCTCTTTAATGACTCTGGCAGCACCACTTAACACACTAGTATGTGATTTCTTCATTACCACACCATGATTCCACCATTTACTCGGCCGATGATGACGTACAGCGATGCTCAGGGATAAAACTAATCACTGAAAGTCTCATTTTTGCAAATTGTCCCATTTGTAAGCACTGGGGTCAATTTAGAAATCGTGGGAAGGAAAGATAGGAGATGCTTTGAGTGTAACAAAAAGAAGATAATGAAATCTAGTGGGGTGAATATTGAAATGCAGTTCACCATGTGAAACTAAGAATATCTATTGCTAATTTGTTTGTTTTTTTTTAACTTCAATTTCAAAGATGTGACAAATGTAGTGCAGCGCAGTGAAGCTTTGCTCTGCCTGAAAGCTTTCGTGAAATCCTGGTAACTGCTACTTTCATGTGTCAACCCTTCTCGCATTATCCAGTCACCCACCCACTGCCTTTCACCTGTGGTGCACAATTCCCACACCCTCCATGCATCAGACCCTTCAGTACATACATTGACGGGGACATGCAAATGTTTTGCCACTATCAATAATAAATGTTGACTTTTGAACCTCACCAATAGATTTTTTTTTTTACTGACAGCGCTTCCCAAGAGATGCACGCAGCTTGCTTTAAGCATAGTTTAGAGGTTTTTGTCGACACCTCGTCATTATTCAAAAGAATAGAACAGTTTGAGATGGAGAACCTATACCTGTCTATCTCTACCTGTGCAGCTCATCTCCCATTACTGTGTTAGTGGGATTAGAAAGCAAGACTTATGCAAATCTTTACTGAGGCACACAAATTTTGGAAAGTCGGGGGGGCTGACAGAGCTCAGGGGAACATTTTAGCCTGCACAACATACATGCAAACACAGAATGTCCAAACAGTTCCATCTGCTACACCTTCCCCCCCACCCACCCGGTCCCTTCTGCTGCTGCCCAACACCTACCACTCTCTCAACATCATATCAAACACTATGGGCCACGACTCCTTCTAATGAGATTGCACATGCTGCACCGTGGACTGTTTGCTCACACCAAGAATCCACAGCTTTGATCAGACATCAGTTTTGATAGTCGGTGTCACGCCTGCCTGACCTGAATATATCTCGCAAGGCCGCTTTAGTGGTTATTGAATCGAGCAAAAGCAATGATTTCTTTAGGCATCAATGTTTGATGAGAACTTCTGCCCTCGGGCTTAATACGTAACTCGAGTAATTCGCTAACTCCAAACAACAACACCTAAAGTACAAATCTGAGACTGCTTAATGAGCGCCGCTTTGAGGTTTGAAGATGATATAAAATCGATGTGCGTGTGTGTCTGTGTGTGTGTGCGCACCCTTCGCATTTTCAGATGTGATTCAATGTGAAATAACGCTCCAACAGGTGTCAGGTGTGGGAGAAATAAGGTAATTGGAATAACTGTATAAGCAAATGAACAGTCATGCCACGGCTGCTGGGGCATATGCTGTGATTTATTATCTCATTTACCTCCTTTCTCCAGAGGAAGAGAACAGATAAAATCCTGACGCGTCATTGGTCAGATGCAACACCATGACTGTTCCTGTCATGCTCACAGTAACCTTTTCTTGCTACATCATCTCTGCGCTCACACTCACACACCATGGCAACAAAGATCTTTCGAAGCGCTTGGCAACGGCCTCTGAAACGTACAATCCCACATCTTAACTTGACCTGACAATGTCCCCTAACAGCCACTGTTACTACAGAGAGGTCAGGGCTGTCCAACTCAAGTCCATGTCCCATGTTAGGGCGCATGAATCACTCGGAGTGCTGCTGTTGCTGCTGCTGCCGGTGCTCTGTGGATGACGATTCACTTGAGATATGATCTGTGCCACTGGTTGCACAACCACAGACGGAAATGTGTGCTCCTTGCTAAGCGTGTTTATTGGGAGAGGGAGACAAATTCAGACAGACAGACATACGAAAGAGGTGGGCAGACTGATCCACCACACATGAAAACCATTCATGACTGTGCGTGCCAAGTGTCGCTGCTCAACAGATTATAGCCTTAATGGATGACATTCAAAAAAAATGTATCTGGCCTAATGTAAGGTGCTTGCCACGTCCACCGTTTGAATTATAACTAACAAATCATCTGCAGTCGAAAGGATTCGAGACAAAAATCTAGCATGCTTCACTGTAACAATCCACTGGATGCCCCCCTCCCTCCTAAATTTAGCCTGCTCACCGACCACCGTGAGTGATGGATTGGATGAGAAAAGGGGCTGTGCATGATTGGCTACACACGCGATTTGCTGTATAACCTCGGGGCATTCGGAGCCCCCCTTATTCAAACGTGACATTCAGACCTGCTTTGTCAACCTGGCGCAAGCTGATTTTGCATTTCTTTCATTCATTCGTTTCTCCTTGTGAATTTAAAGGGGTTGCAATAGGCGATTTATGAGAAACCACTTTTTCCCTTCCATTTTACAAGGTCATTATCGCATTTGGAGTAAATTGCAAAAACTCACCATACACTCCTTGACAACGGATGCCGTCCACGATGAGCGCCAACAGCCCCAAAACACAGATAGTTAGATCCATCCTTTTCACGTTAATCTCTGCATATCCAGCTCTCAAAAGCGAGAAGTCCTTTCCGGGGCGGTGTGGCTGAGGTGCATAGACACGGGCACCGCTCCGATCCACACGTAAGATTGATTTAGAACCCCGACTCCCCCACCCCTCCCTCCGCCAACTGTTCGCTGTAAAGGTATGTATGGGCGCAGCAGGAGAACAGAGTCAGGTAACGGTCGGTTTAATGGGAAGCGTCACGCAGTCCCAAAAAAATGCGGAGCGCTCGCGGAGACACAACCGCCACGGAGGACGTGGAGAAGCAGGCAGGCGCGGGGAGTGGGGCTGCAGAAAGCCTGGCCTTGGAAAAAAAAAAAAACTCTCCTCCACTGCAGGTAGGTGAGCTCCACCGATTCCGTAGACTTTAGCAAAGACCCGCGGGGACACGCAGGTTCTTTCGACTACAAGTGGATTGCGGCTCGGTACCCACGAACATAGCTCTCTCCACGGCTGCTGCTGCTGCTTACTGCTGCGGTGACTGCGAGCTGTCAAACGAAAGCACCTCCTCTGCTTAATAATAATAATAATTATAATGATAATAGTAATTATAATGATAATAATAATAAAAACACTGACAGATTTGTCACTTTTCACCTTCTGCGCTTTAAAGTAGTCCAGCTGCTGCTGTATACAGTGGAGGCTCTCCCGCTCACATAGTCACATCCCGACTGCACCCCGATGCCGCGCGCTCGACTCATCTCTCCCGGTGGCAAAAAAAAAAGAGAAAAAAAAAGAAAGAAAGGCAAGGGGAGGGGAGGGTCCAGACCGGTCAGGAGCAGCCGGATGGTTTATCCACAGCTCCCCGGCGATGCTTTCGGTTGTCTCGGCGTCACCACACCACTTTTTTGGCGATTTCAGGCGACGGTGGGAGCCGGATGTGCCCGCCGTGGTGCCAGTTGAGCAGCGGTCACGTTGCGCAATACGTGCTACGGAGACAGAGTGGCACCGCAACCGGTCTGTAGCTACGTCAAGAGGTGCGTGGCTTCCAGGCGCTCATCTGTATGGGAGGCTTCGCTCAGCGTCAGGAAAGGCATGAGAGGCGCAGCTGCTGGATGCTGAGAGAAGGAGAGAGAGGGAGATGGAAGCATTGGAATTCAAGAGATCTAGCTTTGACAGACCTTTGCAATCACCACCCAAACACACAGTCTACACCGCGCCTGCTCATGTTTCACCATGCCTCCTTTATCAGACAGGGTGGATGAGGTGCTGTCTGTCATGTAGCATTCATCTGCTACATCAGACTACTTCTGGCCCGAAATAGTGGGATGTCTGTGTTAGTCTGGTGTATGCAGCTCTTCCTACTGGTGCTGGTGATGCTTCTGCCACAGGCCGACATTTTTTCGGGAACTGTTTTTTTTTTGGCAACGCACAACTTTTTAAGTTTTAAGGAACTCGGGCTAAGTGGTTCCCAAATGGGGAACCATTTGGGCGTCCTGCAGGCAGTTCCGGGGGGAATTGAGAAAATCTCAATTTGATGATATTCTATAGAGTGACTACAAGTGTTCTAAAGAGAGCGAGAGAAAAGACATATCATGCACGTTTACACGTGTTTCACTTTCACCATTGTCACACGGAGGTGGCTGTAAACACTATTTCAAAGTACGGGAAATATTATACTGTGAATGAGCCCACTTCATTGTTTTGTGTTTTTTTTTCCTGTTAAGTGTTAGTGGTAATATCAAGAGCATGCAGAGACTAAAAGCTGTTTCCTAGCAACACAATTTCAATTAAATGGTTTTAATTAGTGTAATATTTTCCCCAGTGGAGAAGTAAATGGTATACTTTTCAGATAAATGGTTAAAGACAGAGGCTCAACAGTATGATCCCTGATCAAACAGGCATATGAAACCCAGTGAGGTGTCTGCGCAATTTATGATATTAATTAATAAAAAATAAGTAATTAATTGTGTTTTACATAAATATATAAAAGTAAACCTGATTTCTAAGCTGATTGCTTTCAGATATTTTGTGACCCAAGTTAAAATAGTCAGAATCTAGTCAGAATCTAGCGTTGTGACAAGTGATTCGTATGAATAAAAGAGTAAAATCTTTGTTTATAGCTAATTGAAAAAGAAATAATAATATGCTCCACTTGTTGAGACAGAAAATTTTAATTTGAAGCAGCAAGTCTCTCCTCAGCTGGAGCAGCAGCAGTGGGTAGTTTGGCGCCCTCTTCAGGTTTTTAAGACATCTAGACCCAAGCAGTCGTTAAGAGTTATACTCCCTTAATGACTAAGCCCAAATTCTGATTGAGCATGATCAATGCTTATAACAATATCTGGGGTTTCCCCTTGCTTTACAGATGTTTAGCCGAACTGTCAATATCTTGCTATCAGACAAGGAACTGAAAATAAACAATGTGCTCTTTGGAGCTAATATTGGATACATGCCATTCTGAAGTTTTTAATTTTGGAATCTAAGTGATTAATCTCATCTAACTTCATCTATCAATTTTACTCACTAGTGCAACGCCAAAAGTAAGCTTTCAGATCTCATTTTCTTCCAGTGACTGATTTCGATTTGTTTCATTTTGAGGGAAATTGAGGGATCAGGGGGTTTATTATGTCTTCAGGACATCAAACCGTCTCTTGATTGATATATTTCCGTCTTTGTAAAATTATGTGCACATCTCATTTTGGAAGGCGTAATAAAAAGTTGTCCTTTCATTCTCAGATACTTAAATTAAAATTCAGCAAGTCATTTAAAAGTAAGCGTCCAGTTAATTTTTCTATTTCTTAATCACCTTGAGGCAAGTGGAGTAGTCTAATTTATTTTAGCTGTCACTTTTTGTAAAAAAAGAAGAAAAAAAAAAGGAATTCTGGAAATAATTTGACATTGGATTTACAGTAACTCAAGTAACTGACAGAGCTGTTGAAAATATTTAAAGAGAAAAAATATCAGGGTTGTCAGGACTGCTTGGAAACAGTTATGCAGTCTGGACTTGGATATGAGTGAGCTGAATGTCCTGACAAGTATAAAAAAATTAGGTATTTTGTCATATGGTAGTGTGTGTGCTTTGTCGCTTACCCTCCATCTGCTGGCTGCTAATCATTCTGTTTATTACTGTACCTTTGCATCACCCATCCAATACGGACGAGAGTGGGCAACCACTAGGGAAGCTTAGACTTTAACTCCCCATCTGTCTATTGTGGATAACTCTGCACTCTATGCCCACCACCACCCCCTCACTGTCTTCTTCTTCCCTTGTGGAATATAATGCAACCTTTATATTCATGATGTCTTATGCTACTACAGTGCACTGACATGGGAGTGAATGCAATTATGGAGCCCGTTGTGAGCAGAGCGTCTGCATGTGTAGCATCATAGAGGGGCTCATGAATATAACATGCACTCACCACTGTTGTATTTTTGGGTGTATGGCATTTCACTAAATTTAGTCGGTCATTTTAGTGCATGAGGTGTTGGGTATGGTATGAAAGAAGACAATCTGACATTTTGGGAAAGTCTCTCTGGGCTTGGCGTTCATTTTCAAACACAGCAAATGTCCAGATGACGTCACAGCAAAACGCATGGCCGTGGTCGTCCAGGGAGACATGCGTGTCTGTGAATCTGTGAAAATAAACGCTAGAGAGGGTTATGGCTTTGGTATTCCAACAATATTCTGCTCTGGTTGGCATCACACATGAGTAAATCTCAAATGGAACAACATGTATTTTTCCATCTCGCTGCCCCTTAAAAGTCATATCAGCCAGCTACTTGTGGAAACAGTTTCACTAACTACTGTAAGTCAGTTCTCACCTTTTTTTTTTTTCTATCCGGTTCTATCCGGATGCTGTTACTTTATTTAAATTGATACATTACTGCTGGACTTCGCCTTCTGAAGTGAATCATTGTTAGCCCATATCTGGTGGGCAAGAAGAATGGCATTTGACACAAACTGCAGGAAATAAAATAGGCCTGAGCATATAGATTCAAAATAGATTTAATGGCTGAATTAGCAGTAATTACTTTTTCCGTGAACTACCTGAGGAGTCATCCAAGTCACAAGCACCAAGGGAGTATGGGATATACTTTACATTTTTGGCCGGCAGTCAGAAATTACCAATGCCTGACTCACGGCCAAGCCTGCATGCATAGTAACTCACTGTGTGCCCGCTGATGAAGTTTTTACTTTGAAAATAGGTCTCCACACAGCTGGCAGAGCAAATTCTTCCTAAGAAATGTAACTGTAATGACTGCAAATCATTTGGCTTTACTGTCATTCGTGCACTTACAGTATGGCAGTGCCCTGCATGTGGTTTATCCAAATGCAGCTGGAGGGGGAAAAATGATAGAAATCATTCAGTATGAACTCTATTGACTTCTACAATGCATTTCTCAAAGTATGAAAAAGCCAGGTGCAGTTTTCATTAATGAAAAAAAGTCTTTGGTTAGTTGATGTGGAGTTGTGTTGATAAAAAACAGTTCCTGCCAAAGTGGGTGACATGACTCCCTGGGGTTCAGGCAAAATCCCCTCAAACTGCTCATTAATTGTTTAGCTATTGTGCTTTAACCATGTTAAAGAAACATACAAAGACAAAAGGGGGGATAAAAACAAATAAAAAATGACCACATTAAAAACACAGTCATGCTGCAGCGAATTAAGTGTCAACTCATGGTTGCTGGTTGTCATAGAAACTCAACAGGCTTTCTGGCTTGGAAGTTTTTAAGGAGCTTAGCTGGCAGAAAAATAGTGATGGTCAGAGCAAGTGATGGAAAGATTTAAAACAGCACGAAGACAGAGCCAGCCTGTGACTGTGACACAGCCTGAATTAGAGTTCACTAAAATGGCTAAACGGCACTTGGCTAATAGCTTAATGGACGTATTTTGGCTGCTTGTGGAAGAAAGCTATCCACCATCATCTGTGGCACTGTCCATTCTTAACATATTGGATGAGAGATGAGAGAGCCAAAGTGGGTATTGTGCACATGAAAAGGAAAAAAATCACAGAGACCACCTGTTACTGAGATGGAGTGTGAAAAAAACACAACATTCATAATATTTGTGTACACCTCGTACACCCTAAGTATAACCTACTAGCACTGAAGAAAATACAATTATTCCAAAATGGTTAAAGTCTTTTATAAACCATATAGCTCTATTGTAGTTTTGTTGGCTTCCATTGTGTTGGGCTCTCTTAAAAATGTTTGGGAACTGCTGCTCTAGAAATGCAGCAAAGACGTTTTGTTACATTAATGGGATCTGTGCCAAATCTGTTCTTAGTGCTTTTCTGTTGCAATTAAAGGAGCTGCCCCCATTTATATTCGCTGCAACGAAAACTCCCTTTCTGAGTGCAGTCTTTTAACATGAGCTAGCGTAGGCTCTTGTGCTGAGAGGCAGGCCTTTTGCCTGACTGTAAAAATAAAAGGCAGTTCTGACAGGCATAACGCGTGTTTCTATTCTACAAATGTTCCCTCAGACACCCCCGTTTTCCCTGGGTAGTGGCACTCGGTATTCACGGCAGCGGGAAGCCTGTCGGTGGTATTTACACACATAACTGGGGTGAAAAGAAATAGATTTCACAATCAGGTGCAGCAGTTCATAGCAGCTAGTATCAAGAAGCCATCAGAATCCGGAAACCGCAGCCCTTTGTGATGGTCTCTGGTGAGATATCAGGTAGGTCCCAATAGAGGATGAATAATCAGTTAATTCATTGAAGTGGTGCAAAATTACCTGCGCATTTGAAGCCGTATGAAACTTGCCAACACTGCATGAAATGTGTAGCGCTCATAGCTGTAGCCCACACATGTTTATATGTCACAAGTATTTTCAATTGCTTTTCTTAATAAAAGAGGTGGGGGTGTGTGTGGGAGGTTTAATGAGTGCCTTCAATTTTACAAAATGACAAGAATCTCCACAGATCGATCCATTCATCTGTCTGTCTTGTGATCAAGGAAAGCTTTTATGTCGCCTCTAATTCAGCTATACTGCAGCTATCCATTTTAACACCAGAGAACTTCCTATTGGGCTATTGATCAG